AATAAAACTGAAATATATAATATAGCAGGGGTGGCCACTAACCTTAACTTTGGGAGCCGCAAATTTATAAAGCTAATTTGAGGTGAGCCACATTGTAAAGCGATGTTTTTGAAATGAAGACTAAAGAATAAATACTGAACCACATCTTTAAAAAAAGCCAAATCTAACAACCACTGGGGTTCATTAAGTTCAGGAAAAGATTTTCCTTTTTCTTCCATAAACTGTTTGATTGGATCAAGTAACTCAAAAAAACTTCCAAGAACATTGCTTATTGATAGCCATCTCACTAAGCAGTACCAAGATACATCATTAGGTAACTCATAGTTGTTCATATCTTCTATAAAAGATTTGAACTGTCGGTGTGTTTTGGCACTTGAGCGAATACAGTTTACAATTTTTAGAACTACCTGCATAATATGCGGATATTGAAAATATTTTGCTGCTAAATGTTCTCTGTGAATAATACAATGTACAGGTAGGAAATCAGGATATGATGTGTCAGCTTTTAATAGTCCAATAAGCCCTTGTTTTGTACCAGTCATAGAAGGTGCACCATCGGTAGCAATGCTGACAATATTACCGATGGGCACTGCGTTTTTCTGTAAAACCCCATCCAGGGCTTCTTTAATGTCACAACCCCGAGTAGTTTTATATTTTATATTAATTAAGTTTAGTCTAAATTTAGTTCAAGAGCCGCACGAAACTGATTTAAGAGCCGCATGTGGCTCGCGAGCCTCGTTGTGGCCACCCCTGTAATATAGTAATAGTAACTGGGTAATATTAACATTTTATTTTTTATTTATAATATTTCTAACCTGTTTTTACCAGATTCTGTATTTTTTTCTATTATTGTGTTGCACTTCAAGTGTCTCCATATCCCACATGATTCAATAAAATATGTATAACCATATGAAGATTTTAGATTACCTAATTTTCTTGAAGAGCCTCGACATACTTTAGTTTTTTCAAATGTTTTAAGTATATGTTGTAAGTTGTCATATGTTTCAAAGTTATGAATGCATCCAATATCCGATAATTCTATTTTCTTACCATAAACGTATAGTGACATTTGCAAATCTGTCAATTATTTCAATATACAATTATAGTAAATTATAACAGTAAAATTAATAAATCAACTTTCTGTCAAAATTAATTGTTTTTCTATGCATCTAGTAAAATCACATCTATATGATCCTAGTTTATAAAAACTAATTATGTTTTTTTTTTCAAATTAAATTCAGCATCATACAACCATTTTGTTGGTATCTCTATGGTAATGTTAATTTGTTGTAAAATGTCTTGAATATAATTTGAATTATTATGTATCTACAAAAATACATTGAAACCAAATAACTAGTAATTACAATAATATGGTGAACTTTTAAAAACATACCTTAATTTTTTTCGGAGAAGGTAATAATCGAGGTAATAATAATGTATCATCATTTGACGGTGATATTATTGATTCAGCCGATTCAGGTTTATGAAGATATGATGTTGATCCATGAGTGACATCACTACTTTTAGATACACTTTTATGATTCACCAAATCATAACAATGATCATGATTAAGGGGCCTCGCAATGGCATTGATTTAAGGAGAATCATTTAGGCAATTTCTAATCTCGTCGTCGCCACCCGAGATCTATGTGTTAGCCGTAAATGATTATTAGTGTGTGTGGCGTCCATGCGGGTCAATTGTAGCTCTCGCACGCACTCGCACACACATGTCAATATATAATAATATTGTGATCATGAAAAAATGCTTATTTTTCACTTAAACATACGATTCTAATTCCAACAGTACGTCGCAACGATTACCTCAATTTTCATTCTGACAAAATATTCTTATTTTCCACAACATGTACGAGGGATCGATCGAGGCACATTTTTAAAATTGTATTTAGTTAATTAAATATTTAAGTTGGAAATTCTGTATTTTTTTTTGATTTTTTTACAATTTTTATTGCAATTTACATTACAAAATTTAAAAATGTGGCTCGATCGTTCCCTTGTATATATTACGGACAATCAGAATTTTTTTTCAGAATGAAAATCGTGATAATTGTCGACACGTATCGTTGGAATTAGAAACAGTAGTATTTGACAAAAAAAAGACTTGGTAGTGGGGCCCTTAATATTTGGTACTCCAGATGTCTTTAAATAAGATATTTATACACATAATATTGATTTATTTTTTTATAAAAAAAATAATAAGGTACCTTAGATTCCAAAAGTGTTGTGTTCAATACATTTAAATTATTTATTGGGATTGCACCTTTACGAAGGGTTATAAACAAATCTAAAAATCAATAATATAATATTAATTTTAAGGAAAATAATAAAACAGAAATGTAATTATAATTTTATACTGACAGTGTACTTGCTGAATCCTTTGCCAGACTCCCAAGTACTAATTAAATCTTCCTTTTGAAGAACTTTTAAAAATAACTCCTAAAACATCCGCCCACTGAAGCCTTAAAACATCATTAGTAGATACTTTAAACAAATTAGTCTTTGAGGAATCAGATTTAGATGGACACAAAGGTACACAACGGTACACAACATGAGACTGGCATTTTTGTAATAGTTATATTTTAAAAATATAATTAAATAACTAAACTGACTTAACTAAACAACTTAACAAGACAATTCGAAAATCGAAAAATTGTAGCAATGTACTAATGTAGTTGGTGATTATTTACTATTTTTATTTTGTTACTGCGTAAACTCACGGGTAGACCAGAAGGCTAGTTATACTATATTATTATAATTTATATTATAAATTATAATATACGATTATTATAAATAATATACTAAATTATATTTATACCTATTAGTTTTCATTTTAACCGTTATGAGCGCTGTAGGCGGGGGTCCTCGTAGATCACGTGACTTTTCGATTCAAACCATATGCCGTGTGATAACATTTTTCTAATAATCTAATGGGTCGTTGTGCAACCATACTATGTATCTTAAATCGTGCTCTTGATTGAAAATATTAGTTCTACAGTTTTATAGTCACCAGAGCGCGTTTTCTGTCCTATGAAGGCCTATGTATTCATACTGTTAAATGCAAAATGTCTTAAAACTTAAATTGAAATGCTATTTTTTTTTTTCAAATTGAAGTTAACATTTACAAAAACATATTAAGTTTGTTTTTTAATCGAGTTGTCTTAATAAATTGGAGCCCGTAAATTTGCTTTTTAATCATTTGCAATATTTTTTATCGAGTAGACATCAATTATAAAATATGACGTATACTTCTTTGGATATTTGCACCGTTCATAAAATCTTTAAATTAAATTGAAACTATTATGATTCTGCTCCTAATTTTAATAGTAGTCTGGTAGAGTGGAGTATTATTATCTAGTGCTCATACAAAACTTTAAAAACATGTTTAAAATATTTTATTAGGGTATATTATTTATATTTTAATATTAATAATATAGTATTCAATAATAGTTATCTTATAAACTTCAAACTAATTTTGAAAAATTGTTTAGTTTTTTTGGTGTTTTCTTGTTTTTAGTACCTTGCTCATTTTTTCTTTTGCAAATTATAATCATCCTTGTTTTGATTTAATGCATTAATGCTTTATGATATATTTGGTTAATATTTGGCTGTGTATTGAGCAACTAACCTTTGTCAAAAATTTTGTTCATATATTTCTTCAAAAGCTTTAAATAATGTTAGAAAAATAAACAGTGAAAAATGTATATGTAGTTTTTAAATTGAAATGCAACATTTCAAACATGATAAAACCAGGACAGCTAGTTATATATATTTAGATGTTTTACAGTATAATCTACGATAATCTAGTACAGTACTTCTCATTTTTTTTTTGTCTTGAGACTCCCTAAATTTAATGTAAAACTATCAAGGCCCCTTAATCAAAATTATTAATTGTTTTTTCTAAATTAGGTATATACTTATATTACATGTACTATTTCACACAGATAAATTACCAACATGTATTGTAAATTAATGTTTTAATATACTTTTGAAAAATATTAATAATAGTATTAAAATTTAAGGATTTTAACTTTTTCCATAAACACTTAAAGTCAATAAGCACTGATCTACGATGACCATATAAATCTATCAATCATTTAGCATATAGATATGTTTCTATCCCCAGCATCTCGGTTAATATATAATAATATATAGGTAATAGCTAGGGCTAGGGATTTCATGCCCTAAAAAACCTTAAAATATGCATGCATTTATGCCTTAAAGAATCACTAAATATGCTATTAAAATAAGCATTTAAAAAAAATATATATTTGTAATAAACTAATAACTAATAATTAATAAATAATAATAATATTTGTTGATATGACAGATAAATAGATAAATTTTAGGTGCTGCTCGGATATGCGGTCTACCGACATTTTTCTGTTCAGATATAAGGTCTACATATTTTGTAGACCGCACACCTATAATACGCAGTAAATAGTAATAGTAGTATGTAAATAAATAACCAAATATTTTAATTATTACTATATTAGTAAAAATCATTAAAAATAATGGTATGTAAATAAATAATACAATACGCAATATCAGAAGTCAAAAATAATTTTAAAAAAAGCAAAAAAATATTACTAAGAAAATTAAAAATTATGTAAAAAAATATTAAAAATAATTTTATGTATAAAAACCTTAACGATAAACTGCTTTAATGTCCCTCAAAAATGCAATAAATAAATCAGGTTCTTCTTTCCTAGCAACTTTCCAACAATACTGGTCGAGATGCGATTGCAAAAGTTGATGGTTGTGCCTCTCATCGTTTTCATGATTTTTGTTTTTGCATCCAACCATGATCTCTCTATGCTCTGAGTGTGAGCTTTCGTCAAAGGATCAACGTAGTTTTGCTGGTGGTTAACAATGTTATGAATATATCCATTATCTTTCAAACATCTATAGGCTACTCGTCTGAATGAATGACAGAGAGCTTCACACTCTCGTAGAATAATTGGTAGTAATGTGTTTTTGTCTCTTCAAAGAACATAAAAATATCGGCAGTCAGAACCATTTTTAAGCCCAAAAACCCAAGGTCCATCAACTCTTCGTCCATGGTTTCTACCGTTGTGTATTTCAGCATCACTGTCTTCCGATGAAGCGGGTTGATCGCCATTAAGTAACCTTCCACGATTATATTTCCTTTTTCCGGCAAATCTTGCCTCATCAATCTGTATTGGATTTATGACAGTTCCCAGCATCTTTGGTCGTTTTTGAACAATACTTGAACATACTTCACGACACATGTTAAACCAGTCAGTAATTGTCTCCTGGGCACCTACCTGTTAGAGTGGCTGTTGTTCTTAGATGTATGTCCAATACAAAAAAAAAACCAATTCTAATATTTCCGTCAATTTTAGTTTACTATTAGACTTGTTGTTCAAGTCCTCTGTCCTCATAGTGAAAAAATTTATTGCCTTGTACACTGCGCGAAGTCTGGCACCCTTTTTTTTGCACCGATGAACCGGACGAAATTCACCCCCGCGATCGCGTTTTCTACTATTTACCATTTCACTACCGCACTTATGGCATGGTAGCGTTTCGTTGGCAGTATCTAATAAGCCATGCTCCCTTAAAAATGCAGTGGCATTTTATTCACTACAAGCGACGGTCGAATAGAACTCTTTTAATTTCATGATTATACACGGTTAGGTTACTGATCGACGGCTGTTCGATTACTAACAAATTTAATAAATACACTACCACACTGTGGTATATCAGTGATTTTGTCTTTTAGTACCCAACAATAAATATAGGCGGAAAATACAAAACTATATCGTAGGTATACATTATATTACAGCAAATTATATTTGGGTCAATTTTATCTTTTAATGTTTCATTTACCGCTGCTCAGATATGCGGTCTACATCATGTTTGTAGACCGCGTCTTGTCGGTAGACCGCATATTCGAGCAGCACCAAATTTTATCATATAGGTAGTTTAATTTGATTATTTTTATTTTTGATTTATTGATTGATTTTGTTTTCATATTAAATCAAGTTTTAGTCTAAAACATAAAATTTTTAATTTTTTTAAAAATCAACTTAAATTTGATACATTTTTAATATACCTAGTACCTCGCCTAGTACCAATTACCTTGAGCATTTCATTTAACTATTAAATATTTCCTTAAGTTGAGTATTTTGAACCTGTTGTCAGCCAAAATATTTTTATATTTAAAAAAGGAACTTTCCATGACGACGGAACTCATTGGTGCAAACTTAAAAAATGGTAAATCACAACAACTAATATCTGCAAGCAATCCGTCCATATATTCATTTTGCCCATTTAAAATGTTCGATATTTTTTGTAGTTGTTCAAATCCAATATTTTTCTCCAAAACTTTTTGGATTATGTCATCAATTTCTATAGCTTCTGCAGATCCTTCATCTTTTGGTCAAAAGTAAACTGTGAATATTTTAAAATATTTATTATATCTCAGGTCCAGGAAATAAAAATAATTTTCAAATATGCACTTATAAAATGAAAAATTGTCAAATATGCACTTATAAATGAAAAATGGTCAAATATGCAAAATATGCAACTATAAATTTTAAATTTAAACTCGTATTGCTATGAAACAAATTTCTATATTACTTATCTATGTTTTTAATGATTATTTAAAAACATGCTAACTCCTAGAAGTCCCGGGCCCTAGCAATAGCATTGATATTATAATATACTATAAATACTATGAATATATAATAAAATCAATGATGATAGGTACAACTGAGTAATAAATGCTTATAAAAAGGTATTCAAAATATATGCATTTTGGTAACACATAAATATTATGAATACTAGTATTAAACTCATTATCAACATTATTATGAATTGTATTTAAAATCAATATATTAATTAACAATTAATAATTATTATTTTTAATTGTAACCCTTTGAAATCATTATGTATGATAATTTAGTGAATTAACTCTTACATTATTCATATATTTTTTTTGTAATAGGAAATTTAAAAATGACAATATTAAATAATATTAATAATTGTATTTGATAAAAAGAAAGTATTTAAATACATGCATACAAATAATTTAGAGCATAGAAGTCATTATGCAATGAAAAATTTTGAATTTAATTTCTTATATCATAATATATTTTCAATTTTCTATGGCTTTGGTGTACAAAAGTGTTTGTTTATCGGCCTCTTTAGGACATATAGCTCTCCCGGTGGTGATGACTTTCTGTATTAAAATGTTCAAACAAGTGACGACACCTTATTAATACACCTTGATTTATATCTATTATAATCAGGAGTGGAATCTATAAAACTAAACGGCCCAAACCCATTTACAATAGATTCTTTACGACTACCTACTTTTTCGGGTAGTTTATCAAATATATAATACACCTATTCATTCGTCTTGTAGTCTATACTGTATAGTATCTCTGAAAATATACCTGTTAAATACCTTTCTGTGATTGTAATTTATAACAGTCATTACACCATATACCCAAATATTAGTTATTGATTTCAATTAGAGCAAATAAAAATGCCATTACGTCGCTCCTGCTACGTGGTAGAAGTCGAGGATACTTTGTGTTTGTAGTGTAAAGTGGTGTTGGTGTATTGAGTACGATTTTGAATTTTCCCAGCCTCCTATGACTTCAATACCTATTAATTTTTTAAATCTGAAAAAAATCTAGTACCTATAGGCTCGCAGTATAAATTACTAAATTAGCATAAAAAAAATTGAAGTTTTACTATAACTTAGTTAAAAAAAATAAAATGTGGGTGCCTAACCTACCATATTCAGTTCGAGTTCAGTTCGGTCGTTCATTGTGCTAAGTTGTGTTTTGTCAATTAATTGTCCAAGTACGACAACGTGTTCGAAATGCAATTTGACAGTTTCGCGAAATGAGGTCAGTATTCAATGTAATTCGTGTAAGCATGTATTACATATTAAATGCTCTAACACGAATGCGGGAATCCTTTTACCTTATGAAATCAAATGGGATGGCATTCAATTGTGAATACTCCTCAAAAAAACTTAAACAAGACAGAGGAGAAAGTACACCCATCAAAAGTATATCACAAACAAGAAGTCACTCAAATATCTATATGAACAGTGATTTAGACACCAGAGCTATAACCACTACATTAGACGAACTTATTAAAAACCAGATAACTACTAATGATACTCTCTTAATCCTAAGTAACCGGATATAAGAACTCAAAAGAACTTAAAAAGAAAACGACGGCATAATACAAAATCTAGAAATAAAAATCAACATATAAGAACAAAACAAAAGAGCTTGTCTAGTAGAAATAAGTGGTGTAAAAAAGGAAAATAATGAAAATGTTGAAACAATAGTTAATGATATCGCAGGAATTATAGACGTTGATATTAATCTTTTTGATATTGAAAACGAATACCGAAAATTATCAAATCATAATTTAGAAGCACCTCAAATAGTCATAGAATTTTCTTCCAAAAAAAAAGAGTTGAATTCATTTGGAAACAGGGAAAAATTGAATTCAAAGGATCAAGAATATATATCATTGAAAGCTCAACAGTTTACAATAGGAAATTGCTTTGGGAGACTAGAAAAAAGCAAAAGAACTTGGATACCGATACATCTGGACAAGGAATGGTAGAATCTTCTGCAAAAAAGACGACATGACCAAAAAGACCCTAATAAAAATAGATATTTTTATCGATGATCTATGTTTTTTATAACTTATCTATATTTGAATAACGCTTTATTGTTATATCCAACCATTGTTTTAATCTGTAATATAGGTTTAGGTATAGGTTTTTTTATAGATTTATATATTCTTATTGAAAATAGTTTTTTTTTTATTGAATATACATTTCATTCATTAAAGATAGATTTCTTTTTAATACTAAAGCAATTTCCCGGCGCCACCGGTTAAGACTTTTTTACCAGATTTGTCGACCAAATATACATTTTTTTTTATCAAATATACATTTTTTATAGGTTTTTTTAATAGATGTAGATTTTCTTATTGAATATAACATTTCTTTCGCAAAATATTGATTTCTTTATATATAGTTATTTTTTTCATTGAATATAGATTTCATTAAAGATTTTTTTATGATTTTTTAATACGATACCAATTTCCGGGCGCCATCGGTTAAGACTTTTTTACCAGATTTGTTGACCAAATATACATTTTTTTTATCAAATATACATTTTTTATAGGTTTTTTAATAGATTTAGATTTTTTTATTGAACATACATTTCTTTCATAAAACAGATTTTTTTTATCAAATAAACATTTTTTTTAGGTTTTTTAACAGATGTATATATTCTTATTGAAAATAGTTTTTTTTTTATTGAATATACATTTCATTCATTAAAGATAGATTTTTTTTTAAAACTTAAGCAATTTCTCGTCGCCACCGGTTAGGACTTTTTTACCAGATTTGTTGACCAAATATACATTTTTTTTATCAATTATACATTTTTTATAGGTTTTTTAATAGATTTAGATTTTTTTATTGAACATACATTTCTTTCATAAAACAGATTATTTCTTCGAATTTAACTTTTTTATAGGGTTTTTAAAAGATTAAAATTTTTATTGAAAATACATTTCTTTCATAAAACAGATTTCTTTAATCAAATATACATTTTTTATAGGTTGTTTAATAGATTTAGATTTTCTTATTGAATATAAATTTCTTTCATAATTATAGATATTTTTTTTTTATTGAATATAACATTTTTTTCGCCAAATATAGATTTCTTTATATATAGTTATTTTTTCATTGAATATAGATTTCATTAAAGGTTTTTTTTTATGATTTTTTAATACGATACCAATTTCCGGACGCCATCGGTTAAGACTTTTTTACCAGATTTGTTGACCAAATAAAGATTTTTTTTCATCAATTATACATTTTTTATAGGTTTTTTAATAGATTTATATTTTCTTATTGAAAATAGTTTTTTTTTATTGAATATACATTTCATTCATTAAGATTTCATTAAACATTCTTTTTATGATTTTTTTAATACGAAACCAATTTCCCATCGCAATCGGTTAAGACTTTTTTACCAGATTTTTCAACCGAACATAGATTTCTTTCATAAAAAAGATTTTTTTTTTATCAAATATACATTTTTTGTAGGTTTTTTTAAAAGATAAGATTTTCTTATTGAATTTACATTTCTTTCTCAAAATATAGATTTTTTTCAATTTAGATTTCAATTTTCATTGAATATAAATTTCCTTCATTAATGATTTTTTTTATGGCAGCATC